AGTGAAATTTTTTATTTCTTAAAATAGCAATGATTCTAAAGAAACTGACATTGTATTAAACAAAATTCTCTGCTGCAAAACATAAAAATATTAAGATTACTTGGGTCATTTAACTACACTTACAGCTGACATTAGTACTATTATAAGCAGAAATGTAAATAAGATATTATAGTTATCAGTGACATATATAATCAGTCATTACAACCATCAAAACTTATTTTGATATTTGTGTCTCCTATTTTGAAAACTAAGTTGAAGGGTTCCAATGCCAATAAAGGAAAAATAAACAGTGTTAGTTCCAAGAACAATGTTTCCCCTCTGAAACTGCTGATCCGTGTGTGCGCTGTGCACCAGCATGCCATCTTTCCAGATTTAGAATGCTGGGGCAAACACCAAATTAACTCTTCTTTGAAAACAACTCATTCATTCAAAGCAAAAACTTGCAATAGGAAGAAAAACATATTCTCCCTTGATATTTGTCCAAACACTGTCATCTAAAAATTAATTCCTTGACATTCTGGTAAAAATATAAAACAAAATTTCCCTTTAGTATTTCTTACAGATTCCCTGTGAAACTAGAGATCAGCACAAATTCTTCACATGCAAATCCATAAGCAATTAAATATATCTCAAGACCATCACTTATTGTACAAATGTAAAAAGGTACAATAATGATTTTTGATGATGCCTTTCTTAAAGATGCATATTTTTATTCTTGACATTATGTATATCTTAAAAATTTACTACTTTGAAAATGTGGCAATAATGAAGGTGGCAAGTACCTCATACATGTAAGTGGTGAAAAGAAATTGGTTTACAGCCTGCTTTTTTTCCCCAAGGGTAAGAGCAGCAGCCTACCAGTTGCACAATTGTCATAACAAGACTCCTTGCTCACCAATCCTTACGCCTAAAGCAACAAAAGAATAAAACTAACCTTCTACTGCATTGTTAAAAATCTAAACAAATCAAACTCATTGCTTTACACACTATAAAGTTAAGCTGGTAATGTCATTTGGTATGCTTGTTTTTGTTTTGGGGAGGCAGGGACAGTGAGAGAGAGAGAGAGAAACGCTCCCAAATGCGCAGAATGGGCAAGAGCTGCAGCCAGGAAGAGAACACACTATGCAGGTCTCCCCAGGAACGGCAGTGCTCAACCCCTCAAGTTACCACCATGCCCTCCTGCAGGTGTGTCTGCAGGAAGCCAGAGTGAGGTTCAGAGACAGAAAGGACCCCAGGCCCCTGGTGGGGGAACCCAGTGCTCCAACCGTTAGGCTAACAGTCCACTCCCTGTTTGCCTTTTCAAAAAGAAATGTTAATAAGAGATTCTGGACACAACTGAAAGTGTGTGAATCATTGACTACCAACTACAAAAACAGGCAAAATGAACCTATGATGACAAAGGTTGAGATGGTGATTATTTTTGAGCTATTAAAGGGGACATAGGGAGAGTTTCCCGAATACTAGGAATAGTCTCTCAATTCTGGGGACTGGCTCCATGAGCGCATTCACTTAGTTGAAATTCATCAAGTTGTGCTTACATTTGGGCCTTGTCTATATTTATGTTAAGTTTCTTCAGGTAACAGATCCCAGACTCCCCACTTCCAGAAGGAGGCAGTTTACTTCCTGTAAGCGAGCGAGCCAGAGTCGCAGGTACAAAGATATCAAGGAAAGTAGCACGGTTTGAAAACAGAAAGATACTAAAATCCACACTGAAACCTTGAGATTCCAGCTCTCTTCCCAAGTCGGTGCCCCACGTCGTGGCATGCACTGTCCATACAGAAGCCCACACTGGATTTTCCTCAAGTAAAAATGGCACTGCTTAGGAAACAGACCCACATACTCAGTTTGTGATACAACAGAAAAAAAGCAAGTGCCTACACTGGCTCCGAGTGCAGAAGGCTCCAAGAAAAAGGGGCAAGAATCATTGATCTCTAAACAACTGTACCCAGGGAAAAGAGAGGCTATTTATTCAAGCCAGCGTAGGATCATTGCACTGAAGTATGCTCACACTCATGTCAACAGTTCTCACTGGCCTTTCCAAAAATTACCAACTCTACATTGAGATGGTAGAAACGTGTACTTGTGATACTGCAATACAGGGGGCATGAGACAATGCAAAACAAACTAAATCAATCCTTTATCATCCATAATAATAAGTCAACACATAATGTCTTAGATATCCAGAAATGTATGTCTAATATTAAGGAAGATGGAAGAAAACAACACAAAAGTTCAATAGCTATTCAGCAACTATTTCTTATGATAAGCCTGGTTGCTTATTAAGATTTAAAAACTGAATATATGCTATTATTTTCAAGGTTGGGGAAAGCTTAAACATGTCACATCTTCTCACCTGGATATTTACTCATCCCACAAAGGCTGAGAACATGACATTCCGCTACATAATAAGAAGCATCTTCACTGCCTTTGCATTTCAAGTTTTTGATTAATACTTCTTCTATAGATTTCTTTTTAAATTTTTCTGTTAAAATTTTTTTAAAGATTTCTTTAAAAACTTACATTTTTTTTTCTTTTAAAGAAATAAACACTAAGAACCAAAAAACTAGAGATGTTTGAAACCCTCTTTAAATCATTACCTAATCATACCACCCCAATTATCCCAAATTAACCATGAACCTGAATCTGGCCTTCAGCATCACCACAGACCTCATCTAAAACAAAATGTTTGTTTGGATGAATATCAATGTTCCCTTCAGTTCTAAGACACCAGGATTCTGTCGGAAAGTTGTTGATGTGTACAACAAAAGTCCAAACTGCTGTAACATATACAAAAAGGCTTCCAAATAATTTCAAACCTCAATAGTTTGAGGACATAGCCTGCTTACACAAAATTAACTTTAAATAGAAATGTCATTGCAAATATTATCAATAATTAGGGTATGTAAAAACTTGTATTTAACAGTTCCACTGTGATTTACTTTCATTGTACCCTCAGCCACAGGGAGCAATATTAAGGCGGGATTGTACACAAAACCCACACCAGAAACCTGTTGCCTCTAATCCAGACCAGAAGCCACCCCCAGCGGCTGTCACTGCGTCATACCCTGAAGGCAGTCACAGCAGAACGTTCCCTGACGCAATCTGTATTACTAGTTCACTTAAGAGCATTCTGGCTTTTTTTTTTTTTTAAGATTTATTTATTTCTATTGGAAAGGCAGACATACAGAGAGGAGAAACAGAGAGGAAGCTCTTCTGATTGCAACAGCCAGTGCTGTGCCGATCCGAAGCCAGGAGCAAGGAGCTCTTCCGGGTCTCCCACACAGGTACAGAGTCCCAAGGCTCTGGGCCGTCTTCGACTGCTTTCCCAGGCTACAAGCAGGGAGCTGGATGGAAGGCGGAGCTGCCGGGACTAGAACCGGTGCCCATATGGGATCCCGGCACGTGCAAGGCAAGGACCTTAACCACTATGCCATTGCGCCGAGCACACTTTAGAGCATTCTTGATGATGCAAGAAAGCTATTTTAATCACATCTCAGCCCTTGAGTAACTTGTCTTTTTAATTTTCAGAATAATAGAATCAGAGGTGCAGGTGAAGCACTTCTGATGCACACTGAAGTGTGACGGTAATCTTGGGAACACCTGTAGCTCATCTGAGATGTCAGCCACACTAGCCACTATTTTCTCTGACCACTGTCGTCACACAATAGAGCAGAAATTCTCTCAGAATGAAGTGAGATGCTGCCTCAAAAAAAAAAAAAAAAAAAACTGATGCCATTTGTGGTCAATGACAGACTTCCAGCTTTCGACTAGAAATTAAAATGAGAACAAAACTATTTCCACAAATGAGACTGACACTTTCCATTACCTGAAGGATTTTACAATGAGATCAGTTATTAACATATGTGATTTTTTGAAACTGTATCATGAATTGTGTTAACAATGGAAATACGTGTATTATGCAATTACCTAGTTGTACTAACTGATCAACACCTGATGCAACCAGATGATGTATGAACGAACATTCACTCACAGTGTGAGACACAGCAATGCTAAATGTAAATTCCAAGTCAGGATGGACTCCCAGTGGAACTGTTGGACGTATCTAGAGATGGACTGTCTAACATTGCCTGTATCAGCAATGTCGGGGCACACTTAAATAGCAGACTGATGGAATTATAACTCCTTATGAAGGACTATGCTATTGTGACGATATGGGGAAACCAGTCAGGGGGTGGGAATTGGGGGTGAGAAGAATCCCAGACTCAATAGAATTGTACCATAAAATTCAAAATTTAAAACAAAAATTTAAAAATATAAAATAAATATGCACAAATATTATGATTCAGTTAAAAGTAAATGAAATATTAACTATCTGCTTACAAGTTATATATTTGCAACAAATATTTATCAGAGGTCTAATTTACCACAGAAGCAAGACTGTATCATTACTCTAAAAAAGAAAATTAACATGGCAAATTCTTAAACCATTTTAGAGATATGACTTCCTTTTTTCCCATCACAAGGGAACAGATCCGATTTATACAACTCTCAAAACCTTCACAGTGACCACTGAGATAACAGTGTTAACAAGTGTAATTCTTGGTTCTTATGTTTCTGAAGAAATGTCTGGTTTCACACACACACACACACACACACACACACACACACACACACACACACCCAACTGACCCTTCGCAAATTTCAAAACAATCACTTTAACTGAACAAACCTCTGAATTTCTGAAGTAGTACATCAATGTTATTAACTTCACAGCTGAAGATAAACTGAGGAATGAAAGAAGCTCAATAAGAACTGTTCTTATCTAAATCAAACCAGCCGGTAAATACCATAAAATCATTCATTTCTAAGGCAGGAATCATAAGGGAAAATGTTTGAGAATGAGAATTAATGTCTTCCTTAATAAATGCCCATGAAAGTTTACACAATATAGGTTTAAGTCAAAATATTCCAGAAAAAAAAATAACCAAAAGCAAATGCAGCCTCCTCCTTTGTATGGTCCACCCATTCTGCATACTCACCTTTGTAGTTCGCTGAGCCCCCTGGTAGATGGAAGACCTGGGTTTTGCCTTAGGAAGTTTTGTTTTAAATTGAGATGAGTGAGATCCTGGCTGTAGAAGAGGTTGGCAGGCAGGTGTTCTAAGCTACAGCACGAGAGGTCCACAGAGCTAATGCGCTGGGATGCAACCTAGAGGAAGATGAAAACACAATTCAATTTTAATATCCTCTTCTCCTAAAACTACTTCCTATGTATAGAAATAAGAAAACTCCAATTGGGAGCAAGACTCTCTATACAGGTAACCACTGGTGTTTCAAAAACATATCCAAGGGCTATTCACCTAGTACAGAAAGGAGCCAAGCGTCATAAAAGTCTCCTGCTGGAGGATGCTTCAGGAACCTAGCCTAGGAGGGAGACTCTCAAGAGAACAGATCATTCCATCGGGTTTGATGGGGACATAGTTCTTCAACGTCTTAAGTTTTATTCTTGAAAATATCCATGCTAAGAATATGTAAGTTTCAGTAACACAAGATTTTAGAATATAACAAGATGCTGAAGTCCAAACTGAATCTCTGAAAGCCTTTGTATATAATGATTTAGAACAGCACACAAAAATGATAGTACCTATCAATTGTCTCATACCTATCTTTAATAAACGCAGTACGGTATAACCAGATTCCTTCACACACATGTTACAAAGTTCTTGGTTGTCTCTCCACAGTATCAGTTGAGACGCTTATAAACTGGTGCTTTGTCTCAATGTGAAATTTAACTATCTAAACACTTACTGAGATGTACAATGCCTTTCCGGTTTAATGATTCTCACCATGGCCAGGATCCCAGGACTACAGACCAACAATGCACACTGTGAACAGAAAACGCTGGGCAGTCTGCATTTCTGATGGTCTCTTCGCTACTCCTGTATCGCAGTGCCGGCTAGTGCCAAGGCACATGGCTTCAGCTCTACCTTGACACATGGGGTACCTCCTCTCCTCACAGAGGCTGTGGGGATGCAAGGATTCTCCCACTTCAACACAGAAACATCCTTCCCGATCTGTCACCAACATGATGGTCTTTTCTATAACCCCTGGTTTCTCTACCCTGATTACAGAAGGCAGCAAGACACAAATTCTTGGGAGTGTGGCTCTGGGCTTAAAGCATGTAGATGCACATTGTAACACCACTACTGGCAGACAGAAATAACCAACTCCCAGTTTTCTCACATGTATGACAGGTGTAAAAAGGGTACCAATCTCTTGCCTGGCACACAAAAATATTTACTGAATGCAAAGATTAATTTATTATTATCACTAACATTATTACAATGAATACTAATTCCAAACAGAATGATTTACATTTTATAGTTGTTATAATTCTCCTGATGCCAAAAACATAGAGGTAAATCTACATAAAAAATAACATTCATGGTTATATTGATAATCTATTTGAGGCTAGAGAGAAGCTACAGCATACAAAGGAAAACTAAAAAAGCCAAGTGTGAAAAGAACTGGGCAGTGTCCATCTTCAATGATCTCAGGAGGAAGGCTAAGTTCATATTTTCACAATTCAGCTTTCACTGAATTTTTACCATTCTACAAACATGAGCCCATTCATATGTTGGGAGGTCAGGATACCAGACCGAATAAATATTCGGAGGAAGCAGGGTTTGCACTGGGTTGCAGCTCACCTGGTATGACCACCAAAAAGGTGTTGTGGCATCTGGGTATGGGACAGACAGTGAGGCCAAACTGCATGATGGGGAATGGGTGAGAGCCTTCAGTCCTGATGAGTAAGCATGGAGGAAAATGAGATTTGGGCAGCGAAGCAGTGCCAAGTGTTGGCAGTCCTTGGCTCCCTGCAGCTCCCTAGCTATCTGCCTGTCTGTACTCACATTTTAACTTATTGTTCTCAGTACTTGGGGAAAAAAGTGAGAATAATAAAGATGACTTATTATGAGAAACACACAATTGGTTTCCTCTTTGTACCTTTGAGAAGGATTCAGCTGCTGAGTCAGCGAGTTGCAGTTGGTAGTTTTTACTGAAAATCAAGCAAATCCTTTCAGCCAGAGTGCTTTTTCCCTCTCTGTGATGGGATCCTGGCATGCCCAGTGCTTCTTGGTGGAAGCACTTCATTCTCTTATCTTGTTGCCAGGGCAGGGGACTGGGTAATGGAGCAGCTAACGGTAGCTCTCATGGTCACCTTGGCAGCACTGCCCTGCGGTCATCACGGCATGCTGAGTTTATGTTCACATTATCCATGTCCCCAGATCTGCCACAGCTCCCTCAAGACTGCTCTCAGCCTTGTTAATGTAGTTCCCTCTCACCTGTCTAGATTAGAAACAGAAAGAAAGAAGAAAGGAAGCAACACATCCTGACAGTTAATCATTTTCTCTTAGTTGTCCAAAGGGAATATTTAGTGTGATGCTTCAGTTGGCCTGTAATCTGTCTTCCTCAAGGCAGTTTCCACATGAAAGAGTCCAGGACCCACTCTCCAGCAAAAAGCATTGAGGGCTGTACCAAGTGTCAGCATGAAATATCTGAACAAAACAGAATGACCCTGACCTTGTTCAGCTTACAATGCTCCCCTTGCGATGGCGATTCTCAATACATGATGTTTGTTTTCACTGTAACAAATCAGTACAGTTAGGACTTACCCGTTTCAAAGATAAAGATCGCATACTTAAAGCATCAACAAGAACAGTCTAAAAGAAGTACCATTAACTCCAAGCCCACAGGTCCAGCCCTGAACACAGCTCAGATCTCAGCTGAAAGGAGTTTCCTTAGTTTTCGTGATAAAATGACATAACCAGACCAAAGAAAATTAGAAGTAGTTCCTGAGATAAGCTTACACTTTAGGATGGAGACAAGGCAGTGACAGACAAGAGAAGCAGAGAAGCCCATCTGCACACCAAATACAGATGTCAGAGAAGGGGTGAAGCCCTGTGGGAGTGACACTCTGGGACATCTTGAGTTCTGTTCACTCCAGTTTCACACAGCATGTCCAACTTGGTGAGCACCTCATTAAACTTTCAGTTTAAAGGGTGAGTATGGGTGTGGTAGAGTGGGTTTAGAGCCACCACTTAGGAAGCCAATGTGCTGTATCCTAGGGCCTGGGATTGAGTCCCATCGGTGCTTCTGATCCACATTTCTACCAATGTAAATGCTGGGATAAATGCAGGAGAGGATAAACCAGGTGCTTCAGCTCTCAAGCCACATGTGACAGATGGGGACAGAGTTCCTGGATTCCAACTGCCAGGCCTAGCCCCCAGTGTCACAAAGCACAAAATGGAAGACAGATTAATTTATTGATCAACTGATAGCTCGCTCTCTCTCTCATTCTCTCATTCTGCCTTTCCAATGAATGAAAATAAATTCTTCCGAACAGGAAAAACCTGTTCAAACCCCTTAAGAAATCACCCTTCTGGCACAAAGAGTTAGGCACTATGGAAGGCCTGTATCCTGTGTCAGAGCGCTGGTTTGAGTCCCAGGCCAGCTTCCAGTTCATGTGCCTTGAAGGCAGGGGAGGACCATTCAAACACCTGAGCACCTATCATGTGAAGAAAACGATGGAGTTCCTGGCTCTTAGTTTTGACCCGGCTGCACCAGTGGCCATTTGGAATATGAATCAATGATAGGGGGTTTCTCAACCTGCCCTACCCTTCCCCCAATCCACATCTCAAATAAATAATAAGTCTTTAAAAAAAAAAAACTTTAAGGTATGGAAGACTACAGAAACCTAGAAACAAACTAAGAAAAAAAAGCACAAGTTTAAAATCTGTCTCAAATATTCATTATGGAATAGGAATTCTGGAAGCTGCCACAAAAACTAGTGTACTTCTACTACGCCTACGAACATCCAGACAGTGTAAGACACAGCTAACACCCAAGCATTGTCACAGGAGAAGAACACAGGCTTCAGTCTACAGCTCTGTCCCTGACTACCACATGGCCTCAATCAACCCTTCTGTTTCGTTCTTAAATGGGACTAAATAGTATCAGCCCTGATAAACTTACTAAGTAACTGTAATCATTTTTCTCATTTTAACAAACAGCAGGGGAGGCTCTGTGGACCCCATATCCCTAGTCCAAATACAAATCCTGGAGGATGCTGTTGTGCAGTGCACGAAGCTGCTGTTTGTAGTGCTGGAATTCTGGAGTGCCAATTCCAGTCCAGGCTATCCCGCTTCCAATCCAGCTCCTGTTCATGAATTTGGGAAAGCACCAGATGATGGTCCAAGTACTTGGGTTTCTGCCACTCGAGTATGAGACAGGATGGAACTGCTGACTCCTTGCTGTGGCCTGGTCCAGTCTTGGTTATTGTGGATATTTAAGGAGTGAATCAGCAAAAGGGAGATCTTTCTTTCTTCGTCCCTGCCTCTCTCTGGTTCTCTTGCTTTTGCAATATGTAAATCTTTTTTAAAAATACAAATTAGGTGGGATCACGAGGCCTCTCCAGGCCACCAAGTGTGCACCAACAGCCAAAAAGACAAAATACAAATCTATGGAACAAAGAGTGCTGTGTCTAGGCCAGTGCCTCAGCCTTGAACAGCTACCCAGAGTGTGGTGGAACAGAGACCATTAATGACCTACCAATTAATGGGTTCACACTTTCAATCAGTGTGAGCTAACTACACATTAGGAAGCCAGTTCTAGTCTGTATTAACAATAAAACAATTTTTTTGTAAAGGTTGATAAATTAAATCGGATTTTCCCACCTATATGCCTGGGAGAAACATTAACACAAACATGGATCCCAATGACCTGCTCAATAAAGTCTCCAAATGATTTATAAACATATGTGAGAGTGAAGTTCATGTGGCCCTCAAAGTGTGTCCAAGGGATACTGCAGAGTAAAATAAAACAACAGGAATAATAAAATTTTTACTTAACAGCTTTTTACACATTTTTTTCCTCTTCAGCTTGACCCTTTTCCAAAAATCATTTCTTTACCTCTCCTAGAGACATTTAGGAGAAAAATGACTTCTCTTTTGGGTCTACCTAAGTTGTATCTTTTGAGCTTTTAAAATATTTATTCTTTTTATTAGAAAGGCAGATTTACAGAGAAGAGAGACTGAAAGAAAGATCTTCCGTCTATTGTTTCATCCCCCAAATGGCTGCAATGGTTGAAACTGAACTGATTCAAAACCAGAAGCCAGGAGCCTCTTCCAGGTCTCCAACCGAGTACAGGGT